GTTTGATTGTATTTCCCCCATTTAATTTTGACTTTAAGATTTTCTGCAGTCTTTTGATCTATTCCCTTTCTGTCAGTTCCTTAACTTCTGTGTGCATGATGTTCGCTGCTTCTAGTATTCCAAGGTATTTATAATTTTCATCCCTTGGGAGTGATTTTATAATATTGCCATTTTTTAAACTCTATTCCATCTAGTTTTTGGATCTTGCTGTGGTATATAGACAGAGCTGTACCTTTGTCCATTCCAAATTTCATTTGCATATCTCCACTAAATATTTGCACTGTATTTATCAGTGATTCTGTCTCTGGGATTTTTTGAATATAGTTTTAGGTCATCCATATATAAAGGATGATTGATTTTTTTTTCCAGCTTGTTCCGAAATGTGGTCGCCCAATCCAGTTTTTATTTAGGATTATTGATATAGGATTGAGTGAGATGTTAAACCGCAGTGGTGACCAAGAATCCCCCTGGATACTAACATCGTCATCATGATCTTCTTCTTCTTCTTCTTCTTCTTCTTCTTCTTCTTCTTCTTCTTCTTCTTCTTCTTTGCAATATTGTTGTCATTATTGTTGTGATGATGATTCAACCTTTTCGCTGCCAAGCCAAGTTCCCACTTTCCTGGCTCATCATGTGGGGCCTTTTCCCGGCTGTGTTCCGGAGGAGGGAGGTCCAGAGAGAGAGAGAGAGAGAGAGAGACTCGTGGGAAGCCAGCGTGGTTTGGATGACTCACGAGCAGGCAGCACCTCCGACGCACCCCGAGCTCCGCCTCCCCATCCGTCCTCTGGACACTGAGTCAGCAGTCAGACCGTTGAACGCTGGCCGCAGAGCCTCACCGGTCAGAAACTGCACCCACAGTCTCTGGTTTGAAAGGCCATCCATTCCTCTCTCTCTCTCTCTTTGTGTGTGTGTGTCTGTGTGTGTGTCTGTGTGTGTGTCTCTGTGTGTGTCTTGGCTGAACATCAGCGACTGCCTAGTCTACAGATACCCTGGATTGTTAGTAACCTAAGAGTTTGCCTTTCTATATATATATATATATGGGTGGACTGTCATCTGTAAAATCTCATGTGAAATAAATGGGTAAGCCATAAAAGCATCGCAAATCTCTTCGTTTCCCTCTCTTTGTCCCGCCAGCCAAATGACACAGAATGGAAATATATATTTATATATATATAAACCGTAAAAGCATCACAAATCTCTTTGTTTGCCTCTCCCTCTTACGAAGAGATTTGTGACACTTTTACGGCTTACCCATTTATTTCACCATGAGATTTTACAGTTGACAGTCCACACGTCCAGAACTCTGCCGGCCAGTGTTGTTATCCCTGGTGACAAACTTGCAGAGAATTGCTCTAGCGGCAGCTGGCAGGGTCTCAGTCAGGCAAAAGGCAGTCTTTCTGATCCGGAGAGCTGGCTGGGGATGATGGAGGCTGTAATCCAACGCTTGAAGTGGGTGCCGGGTCAGCGGAAAACATCCTTGCCCTGACGGATGAGCAAATGCAGGCAGGACACAAAGCCTGGGAGCTAGTCCTGATTCTGAGGACATCCTGTGCACCCTGGGGCAGGATTGGAACTCAGGACTTCCTTGGATCTCCACGTAGGACTCTGCTGTTTTCATTCCTCCGAGCGTTTGTAGAGGAGTTTACGGTAATTATTGCGTCTTTTTATTTCAAACAACGGAGGGGAAAACGTCAGGGCGCTTTTCCGAATGATGGGAAAGGTGTTTGCTGGGCGGAGAAGCCCAGCCTGATGGTTGTGAGGAAGAAAGCGAGAAGACCCGGAGGAGATTTTAAAAAAATTAATTAATTTTGTGTCCTCGTAAATAAAGAAGGGTGGTAAAACTGCAGGGGAAGTTCTGCAATTTATTGAAGAATGATGTCTGTGCTTTGGCGCCAGAGGGAGCTTCAGGACAAGAGAGGAGAGCAGAGGGTCATATTTTATTCAAGCAAGTCAGAAGATTATCCATGGGAAGATTATTCCACTCTTCAGATGGTGTTCTTGCAGCAAACAGCATCTCTCCTGAATTTTTCCTTTTTATCTTTATTATGGAAGGCCTGTGAAGTAGACGGGTGTAGTGATATTCTCTCTCCATCCCTCTCCCTCTCTCTCTGTGTTTTTTTTTGGGGGGGGGATTGCTTTAAGCCTTTCAGAGAAGCTTTGGGGGAACAAATCTCAGAGGTCAGAGAGGGTGGACAGTGCCTTTGGGCTCAAGGCACTTAAGTCTCAGTAATAAAGAGTCATAATAAAGCCGTTTATTAATAAAGAGGATTGCTTCACAGATACCCTGGACTGCCAGAAAGACAAACGAGTGGGTCCTAGATCAAATCAAGCCTGAATTCTTTCTGGAGGCAGCAAAGGTTGAAACTGAAGATACCTGTGAAGATTCTCAGCCCTCCAGGTGAGGTTATCGGGATGTTGGGTCCGGGCAAACCTTTCTTCTTAGATTGAAACGTTTCGCTCCTCCTCCAAGCAGCTTCTTCAGTCTGAGGAGAGTTGGTAGGATCTATCCGGGATCTCCTACCAGCTCTCCTGCGACTGAAGAAGCTGCTTGGAGGAGGAGCGAAAGGTTTTAACCTAACAAGGAAGAAGTCCAGTTGCCACGACTCAACTTCCAGATAGTTGACAGTGAAGTTGTTCCACTTTGGGTACCTCCTGAGAAGGCAAGGGATTCTCTGGAAAAGACAATAACATTGGGAAAGGTAGGAGGCAGCAGGAAAAGAGGAAGACCCAATACGAGGTGGACCAACTCCCTAAAGGAAGACACAAGCTTGAGTCTGCAGGCGCTGACCTGGGTGGCTGAGGACAGGACGTGTTGGTAATGGCTCATTCATAGGGTCCCACCATAATCGATCCCGTCCTACCTTCAGATGAGATGGAGAAGCAGCCTTGGACAACTTACCTTGCCCACTAGCAGCAGCCATCCTTGCGTTTTGTCGTTGCACCATCAGCTTGTAGAGGCTGGAAAGCTTGGAAAAGTTACTTTTTTGGATCACTGCTCCCAGAATCTCCCAGCCAGCAGGACGGTGGCTGGAGTCCTCGGGGAATTCTAGTGTCCGAAGCCGTCCGGTTGACCGATTTCATAGAGCCTGGCTCTGGAAGAGGCCTGGTGGCGTCCATCGGGATCCGGTGCATAGGCATCAAATCAGAGAGCCATCTGCCCGCAGAGCATCTGATCTGCCCTTGAGGTTTGCCCCCCTCCTTGCCGGCTAGCCGTGCCCGAATGGAAGCATAGGAAGGTCCTTTTGATCGACACCTTCATCTCTGTAACGCCTCGCCATTTATTTTTTCATGCATTTCCTGCCTGAGCCAGATCCTGGCTTCATGCATTTCCTGGAGAGGAAATCCCGATCACGCCGTCATTTTATCAGATCCGGCAGTGCCCTGCGGCTGACCTGACAGCTTGCTCTTTTTCAAGCGGTTGGACGAACTCTCCCTTGTTTCCTGCAGTGTTGAACTCACTGCAATAAAGAACTGAAGGGAAAGGCATCGAGGGTGGTGGTGGTGGTAATATGGAGCTGGCTCCTTTTCTCCATGGCTCGAAATAAGAATTATGGGGCATTTCTTGTGGAACTGGAGAGAATTTCAGTGGGCATTTTACCCTCTCGTAGCTATTATGATTGTGCAGATAACCGCTGAAGGCACAAGGGGTGTTCCTCATGGGTACCCAGCAAGAAGGGGCCCTAGGCTTACCTCAAGGCCGAAAGATCTTAGTACATGCTATCTAAATACAAAGATTGTGACTGGTTAGTAAGAAAGCCAGTGGGTATTTAACAGTGGGGAGATAGCCTCTGGGATAAACAGGTATATTCCCTTGAAGCGTGTGCTGTAACAGATGTAAGAGCCTCCGTCATGAATAACAATGGTGGAATAACAGGAATGTTAATTAGGCAGTTTCAGTTTCAACAACAACCTTTATTGGCATAAAGTTAATTAGGCAGAGGAGACTGGTCTTTTTCTGGGACAGTGGTTCCCCGCCTTGGGTCCCCAGATGTGCTTGGACTGCAACTCCCAGAAGTCTTCATCATTGGCTGTGCTGGCCAGGGTTCCTGGGAGTTGTAGTTCAAGAACATTGGAGGAACCACTGTTCCAGATGAAGAAGAAGGAGGTGATGGATGTTGTAGTTATAGCACATGTGGTTTGGGGAACACTCATTTAAACAAACAAACAAGCCTCCCAGCCGGTCTCTACTTCCTTTATTTCTTCTTTAAACCTGTGTCAGCCTACTTCCCCCTCCTCTTCCTTTTAGAGGTAGAGATGGTCATGTCTGTAGCTGTGAAATTAGGAGGCCGGGAAGAAGCTCAGGGCTCTTGCCCTTGGACGGGGGGCGTGGGTTTTTACAGCTCACGGTAGATCCTTTGCCTCCGCTGGAAAATACAGCTAAAAGGTAAATATCTATACTACTCTTTATTGATCTGCTTTGTCACCTGCCTTTCTCAAAGCGGCCCACAGGATAAGTTCGAAAGGAGGTCAACTTGAAAACGGTACTAAAAATGGTTTCAAAGAAATAAAAATGAATAGAAACGGAAAACAGGGGATTCTCCCACCTCTGGATTTGCACCCTTAGCAAACTCTGCGCGTGCTGGGGACGAGGCTGGTGGTCCAGTTTTACCAGGTCTTCCAAGAGCAAAGTGCTCAGGAGAGATGAGCACGGTGGAAACGGGGAAGGCAGGATCCTGCAGGATGCCTCCAATAAGCCTCGTGCAGGATGCCTTTCCCGCAGCGTGGCGGTGAGGGAGGTTCTTGACAGGGAGCAGGAACTGGGTTACTGCCTTTTCTTTTTGCAATCTGTGCCTTGAACCTTTCCCACTGCTTTCGTTCCCAGATGCTCCCTTGACTTGATCCCCTCCTGTTTTGCCTCTGTGTTTTTTTGCCAGTCATTAAAAAGGCCCTCCTTTTTCTTAGGAAAGACCGGCCGTTGCGTTGACCCTGTTTCTGTAAAACAGAACCAGTTGCAAAATGTTCTCTGTGCTTTAAACGTTCAGTCCCTCTCTCTCTGTCTCTCCTTCTGCCCTCCCAGCCTTCTCTTCTAGTTCCTCATTTGGGGTTTCAGCCGCTGGAAAGGTCTCGTAAGCAGAAACTCCCCGGCTACCAAGAGATGTGAACAGAAGGCTGGGCTCAACCTCCATCACGCCAGGCCGACCCGAGAGGAGGAACGAACAGGTCAGGGCGCTGGTTTTTTTTCCCCTCTGAGACCATTCATCCCTTTCGAGTGCGCTGCTGCTCGGGTGGTGAAAGAAGGCAAGAGTGGGCCGTTGAAGGTGGTAGTGAGAGAACCAGGGTCCTTTGTTTGCTTTTGGAAATGTGTGGAAGGGAACAGGAAATGAGCAGGGCTGTGCAAAGGCTCTCTTGACCCGGGCGGCTCTGGGCAAACGGACCAAAGAACTGGAGTTCTTATTTAAAAAAATATTCCTCCGCTACAGATGGTCGGTGAACCGTCTCTGCTTGTGCTTCCTTTAAAATTCCTCGACCAAATCGCTCGAAGCGAAATGTCTGAGTTTGCCGACCGCTCGGGCTTTTGATGGCCTTTGTAGGAGCTCCGCTCTTTGGCTCGTGGGGGCCCGGATCCCACCTGCGCCATCTCTTGAGATCTTTGGCCCCGTTGCAGATCAGAAACGGGACGTTTTGGCTCGTGGAGGTTGGGCTCCTCCAGAATTATCCCTTTGGGAGACATTGTTAGTTCTATCCCCTCTATGCGCCAGCTTGCTACTAATTAGATTTTTCCCCTCCCTTTCAGAAATGAAATCTGCTTTGTTTGAATGTCAGGGATGCATTGGTACTTTCTGATCTGTGCCATGTGCGGTAAGCAGTGTGGGCTAACAGATCTGCTGGAGAGCGCCCTGGTTTCGCTCTCTGGCTCCTTGGTCCTTGCTGGGTCTCCTTGAGAGGAGCTGGACTCCCATGATTCATCGGGTCTTTTCCAGCTGTGCAGTTCAAAGGTGGTTGTTCTTATTAATCTATGTAAAACTGATGGGGAGGCTTACCTCTGTTTATACGGCATATGTTTATCTTGGGGGGGGTCGTCTGTGTGTCTCTATCCCTTGCCCCACAGAAAAAAAAATATTTTAGCCAGCCAAACTCCTCTCGGCAGTGGCTCCTTGCCACCTACAAAAGGCAGAGGAGCGTGGCCAGAGGACGAAAGTTGGCCAGTGTCCGTGGTCAGGAGGGTGAGCCAAAGGCACTGTGCTTGATCTCTTCAGGTTCAGAGAAGGAGAGGGTTTGTTAGCGGAAGGAAAAGGACTCTGGCTGGTAGGTTTGTGTGTGTTTGTACAGAAAATGCAAGGTGGTGCATCTTATGAACTGCAGCAGGAGGAACTGGGGTAGTCCTTTCATTGGGGGGGGGATGTATTCACGAGACTGTGTTTACTCCTCCCCTGAATGCTGACATGCTCGGCTGGGCCAGTTCCTCCATTTGTAATGCAGAGGAAATCATGGCTTCCTCGCCTCCTGCTCGCACCTTCTTCTGTTGTTGAACAAGATGATGTCTGTTTTGCATGGGCTCCGGTGGTGGACAAGATGATCTGGGCTGACGCTCTCGCTTTTTAATCTAGGTTAGGGCACGTCGGTGTGTATGTGTGTGTGTCCTGGCACGGAAGTTCTGTCCACGGCTCTTGAAGAGCATTTCCAGAGGAGGGTGGCCTTTTTCCCATTGCGCTTTCTCCAGCCAGCGCAACGTCTGAAACTACCGCCCTTGTGTGGCTGCCGTGTACCTTTGGCTCTTGACTGTAAACTCACACGGACAGGGTGTCCGGGAAAAGGCCTCTCGCTTCTGTGAGGCGTAGGTATCGGTGGCCCTGGCCCTCCAGTGGTTCCAGAAAAGATGCCCCTCCTGGAAGGAGGGGTTCCTGAATTGTTGGAGCATGAAATGTCAAGTCTGGGCAAAGGGCTGGAGAGACAGGGAGGAGAGGGGGCGGCTCACGGCTGTCTCTGTAAAATGTCCATTCCCGTTTTTAAGGAGAAAGGTCAAGCGTCGTACAGATGGGTATGAATGACCGGTTTGGCTGTTCGTGCCGGTTTGTTTATTGGCCAAAACCCTGGCTCGGTGCTTCTCAGCCCCGTCTCCTGAATGGGGGTGCTGAGTGGGCGCCCACCGGAAGAGACGGGGCTGAGAAGCACCGAACCAGGTTTTCAGCCGATAAACGAACCGGCACAAACTGCCGAACCGGCCGTTTGCGCCCATCTCTAGTCAGGAGGCTTGAAAGATCAACCGATGTACTATGGCCATGAATTGGCAAGCTTTTCAGGGTTCTTCACGGCTCCTTCTGGTGCAATAAACTGATGCGGCGTGCCTCCTGGTCCACCTCTCGGCAGGGATAGGCAAAGATAAAAGGCTCTCTGTTGGTTCAGGAGAACTAATTAAAACCACACTTGCAGGTGGGTGATCGTCCTTATGTTGGACCTTGTGACCCAAGAGCAGATCATTCAAAAGTTTAAACACTTTGGAAGAAGAAACACATCACTTTATTACTATTTCTGCCTCCCTTCCCCCCCCCCACACAAGTACTGTATAAGTGCAGGCACTGAGCCACACGGAGTGCTGAGTACAGACGTGTGGGAGACACATCTAAAGAAAATATTTAGAGAATAAAACAGGGTAAGAGAAGGAAAAATGTGCGGTCATCAGCGAGGGTGTTCAGGGGATTTTAATGTTATCGTTGGAGTTGGAGTTTAAAAACGCTCAGTTTTCCAAACTCTGCCTCCTATGCCACACCTTGTGCGGGTTGTTCAGCTGTGTGAGTTTAGTTGCATATTCTGCGAAAGAGCTTCAATTCATGCTGGCTGATCAGGGCAGTAAAGATGCAGAGAGGTGGAGGTAATTGCTTACGGAAGTGTGCAGGGCAGCTGAGGAGGCCTGAATTTCCCAAGGACGTGTGAAAACCACACACGGCCAGCCCCCTCCCCCAAGACTTTTCTCAGTGGTCACCTAGGTTCCCCTTCGTGTGGAGCATGCGGTTGGCGTTTTGTCCGCATGCGCATTTCTGTGTAAAGGAACCGGCTTGTACCAAGAAGCCGCGGCTATTTTTAGGCTTGCTTCTGTTTTTAAATAGGAGCGTGACTGGTTGGCTGGAATTGTGCGGGGAGAAACTACCGGTTGAATTTCTGCACCACCGGCCGAAAGCAAAAGCATGAGACTGCTGGCAGGAGAACCGAGCAGGAAACCCGACAGTGACTCATTTTATGTGGGCTGGTTCAGGTGTTGGCTCCCCACCAACCTCTGGCGGCCCAGAGTAGGGAAAATGTCTCGGCCGAGGGCTGAGCCCCGAGCCCCATTCGTGGAGGGAAGTGGAGAACGGGGGGGGGGACATGATGCTCCATTGCTCTGTGGATGATCTGGGTGAGTTGGACAATCGTAGGGTCAACTGGTTGCACCACAAAGACCTGTGTACATGCAAGAAGCATATGTATGTGTGTGTGTGTGTGTGTGTCCTTTTCTGTGTTGGCTTGCCATCCCAGACCATAATCTGTACAAGTAGCCCCCCCCATTTCCAATGACTTGCTTTGTACCCGCTTTCTGGTTTTACCACCACTCCAGTAGGACCTTATGCAGTAAACCCCTCATATCTACGGGATCATTATCCGTGGATTCACTTATCCACGGCCTGAAAATATTAAAAAAGGCTAGAAATATATATTTCTAAAGATGAAGTTACCAGAACCGGCCCCTAGAGGGAGACACAGACCATGCTATGTAGAGAGCTTGCCATTAAAATAGCAGAGCGCTGTGCCACTGCCGCCACTGCCATGGAGTCAAGGGCTCTGCGTTCCCATTCATCTAGGGTTAAGTTGCAGGAAGAGAGGGCGGGTTCGGCGCTGAGCATCGCTTGTTTTAAAAGAGCATGGCCCTGTATTTGCGCAGGTCTGGAGCGGAAGGGATCCGTCCTCCCTCTTTTTCCCTCCTTGGCTGATGAGTTCCTGATGGGTTGGCCATCTTTGTGCCTTGTTCTGGGGAGGAAGTTCATCTCTCCCGGGGCTTCCTTTTGCAGCCTTCCTGTTTCAGCTCCAGCTGTGGAAGGGGGGGTTTGTCAGCTGATTGACGAGGAATCCTTGCCAATCTGTGTAAATCCTGCTCTCTTGAAGGACAGTGCAAAAGTATGATCTGATCCTTAAAACTTTCCTAACTCCCCAGCTTATGCAAATCTAATTGGCTTTTCTATTTACCATATTAAGGCCAGATACAAATTTTGATAATTACGCGGGCCGTTAGGCGCGCGGTCCTGGGACATGCTCTTTTACAGCAGGAAGTCCCACCCCTAGGCCCCACCCCCAGGCCATGTGGTCAGGAGACAAAAGGAAAGCCCAGGAAAAAAAGACTCAGCATGGCATCATCAGCCATGGAAGGCAGCCCATCTAGAAGAAGGAAAACTCCGATTTCAAACCTCCACTGCCTTGTGGCTATATCCACTCATGGAAAAGGCTTCAGGAGTTAACCTCGAGGCAAAATCCGGAGCTGGAGTCCCGAAGACAGCATGTGTCGTTCTGCCAACTCCTGCGACATTGCTGGAACCAGTTGTATTGGCTCTTGCCTTTCCATTGGACCATTTCAGCAATGTGGAGAGGGGGGATCTGCTGCTTGGGTAACAGCCTATTCTCCATATTACCTTACCCGGGCTTCATGCTCTGGCAAGGACACTCCTCGATTCAGAGCATGTCACCATAGTCTCTCGAGACTGAAGGATGCCTATGATGAAGGACAGTGATTGATGACTGAGGGTGGAAAAAGGGGCTGCAAATCCCTGTCCCAGAAAAGCACTTAATTGCATTAGAATTCCAATTATGTTACTATAAAAACCTCCTCTGGTTTGGTGTCAGGTCTTATCCTTCGATGTTTTCAATAAATTGAGGTCCCCTTTTTGCCCTCCTTTTTGGGGGAGTGTTACATGGCTACCCACCACGTAATGTGGTGGCATCGGTATTCATGGCCCATTTCTTAAATGCGTGTGTGTGTGTGTGTGTTGTGTGTGTGTGTGTGTGTGTGTGTGTGTGTGTGTGTGTGTGTGTGTGTGTGTGTGTGTGAATAAAGCAGCTGGTGACGTGACTGTCCTCTATTATCTCCCGTTCCTGCACATTAAAGATATGTGTGTGCATATGAGTGCATGCGCCCATACATTGAGATTTGATTCTTCTTCTGGAATCCAGGACAAAAAGCCAAGAAGTGAGCCTTCAAGATGGTGGGGAGGGTGGGTGGGGGGCATGAATGGCCCCCTACCTGCCCCCATGGAGACCACGGGAGGAGGGGGGAACCTCCTCTGAGCTGGGGGGGGAGCTGTGTGCGGCCAGGAGACGGATCTGGGGGCTTCCAAACAGAGCTTGGAAGAGTTTCGCTTTTGGACTACAAGGACCCGCTGGACACTTTGGGGGAATTGGGGTCCAGAAAGGCAACTCTCTCTGCGCTGTGCCTCCGAGGAGGCTGTGGCCCCATCTCACCTGCCCCCCTCCCCATGCAGGGTTGCTCTGCCTCCGTTCAGGGGTGCTGCTACCCTGCTGACCCTCCCCTGAACATCTGTGCCCCCCCTCCTCTCTACGCTCTCTCTCTGTTTTCGTTTTCAGCCGCTCCGGTTCTTGGGAGTTTTCTTAAGTCTTGTACTGTTTCAAAAGGCCATTCAAGTGGGTTGCCTAATCCCCCAGAGGAATGCGTTTCGCAAAGATTTAGCGAATTTGTGGCTGGGCGGAGAAAGACTGGGGGGGGGCAGAGCAGGAAGGCTGGGGTGGGACCCTTCTGGGCTTGCTTGCTTGCTCCGATCACCACTGTGCCATGGGGTCGGTCTTTTTTCTCAGGGTGACCTGGAGGGCAGGAGGGCAGAGGATCCTTTGGCAGCCGTAAGGGCCGCGTGGCCTGGCCGAAAGGATCAGCCGACTCTGCGTTTCTTTTCCCACTGCCTGGCTCATTTTGGGGGGACGGAATTCCCTTTTCTGCAGAGTTCTCTACATGGTCAAATCAATTGCAACGTACAATCCCCCTTTCTACAGTTTCCCAAATAGAGAATACAGAGAAATGGGCTGATTGACGGCTCCCTTCCCCTGGGGTCACACACAGCTGGCCCAAGGCCACCCAGGCCGGCTCTTCTCCCTGGGAGACCCAGTGGGGGGGGGGATGGACCTCCCGACCTGAGATACAGTGGACCCTTGACTTACAGATGGCTTGACTTACAGACTTTTTGAGTTACAGACTTCTCTGGCCGAAAAATTTAGGTTTGACTTGCAGACTGAGATTTGACTTACAGACCAGAAAAAAACCAAAATGGAACAAAAATGGCCTGTTACGGGATTAATCGGTTTTCAATGCACTGTAGGTCAATGGAGACTTGACTTACAGACTTTTTGACTTGAGAACCGCCTTCCAATACGGATTAAGTTCTCAAGTCAAGACCCCACTGTACCTAACTCACTGAGCTATCCAGCTGGCTCTATAATAACCATGTGCTGTCAAATCAATTTAGGACTTTATGGCGACCCTTTCCAGGGTTTTTACAGGCAGCAAATACTCAGAGGTGGTTTCCTTCTTCTGGGGGAGCCTGGGGACCACCCTGCAGCTGGCCCAAGGCCTCCCAGGCTGGCCCAGCGGGGAACGGAAGGCACAGCAGGGAATTGTACTCCCAACCTCTGGCTCTGCAGTCAGAGACTTAAACCACGGAGCTATTAGGGTGCAGGGAAATGGGCCGACGTGGCATCGAAATGAAGCCTGCAGGCCTCTTGGGTATTATTTGTTGCAACAGAAAGGGGAGTCATGGCTGGCTCTCTGCCCAAGAGGCTTGCTGTTTTCTCCCCGTAAGTATGGGCTGCCCCCCTTTCTACGGCTTCCCTCCCCACCTTTTCTAGTTTCCATAATGCTTTGCCATCGGGAGCAAGCGGTTCAGTGCCTTGCTGTTGTTCATTCACCGAGCGGTGAATCGTGGGATTTAAGGTGCCCCTGGACCCTCTCCTTGGTTGGCACAGGAATAATGTTTACAGGTTGCAAAATAACATGACCTTCTAGTGTGTGCATGTGTGCGTGCGCGTGTGCATGCGCCTTTCTGCAGAATGGCTTGGGATGAGCAAAAGATAGTTTTTAGCACTGATGTTCCAGGCAGGTTTGCCACCAGAGAAGTTTTAAGGACAGCTGCTTTTGCATGTCTCATATACTCCTGCTAATGGTTAAAAACATTCCTGGCGTTAAGCAAAGCGGTATCTAGTAGGGCTAAGTCAGCCCCCCTCCCCTTGTCCATCACCCATTGACAGCTTCACTGGCTGGAGCTGTTGAGCTCAGTCTGGAGGGCCTGGACGGCAAAGTCTGAGTGGGTGGTGAGCAACCGTGGTGTGACCACCGTGGGGCAAGTTGGAGTTATCTTTGCTCCAGGGACGTGCGTGGCAGATGGATCCAGGGGCCAGAAGCTCACTTTTGCAATGCACAAGCTGGTGCAACCCATGAGATCAGGGAAGTCACAAGGCTGGCAGAAAGATGCCAAGGCAGCAAAAGAGAAAGAAGGCAGGCTCTGGAGGAGGTGATTCATTCCCACAGAGAGAGAGAGAGAGAGAGAGAGAGAGAGATGGGGGGGAAGGGAGCTGGTGGTGGGTGAGGACAAGAGAAGCTGCACGGGGAACTTAGGGTAATTTGAGCCCGGGTTGGTGCAGGGAGCCGACAACGTCGGGGTGATGCGCCCTTCTCCTGAGCTGCCGAGCGTCTGGTGGTGGGTGAGGACAAGAGATGCTGCACAGGGAACTTAGGGTAATTTGAGCCTGGGGTGGTGCAGGGAGCCGACAACGGCGGGGGGATGCGCCCTTCTCCTGAGCTGCCGAGCGTGACTGTGAGCCATCAATTAAAGCGTTGGGGGCACCGTGACACATGAGGTCAGCATGGACAGAGTTTTGTGGTGTGGGAATCAGCTGGCCAGCAGGAAGTGAAAAACGTGACTACATTTTCACCACATCCGTGTTTGCCGTTTGCCCACATTCTCCACATGCGCGTGAAAACGTAGGGAGAGTGAAGTGAGGCATTTTAAAAAGCCCTGGCCTCATTCTACAGCTTGTATAAATCAATTTCACCCGAATGAGAAAATCTAAGTCGATTCAGACGAGGCTTAAATGCAAGGCGAGGGGGGGTACTTGTGTGTCTGAGCATAGCCGGGTGGGGGTAATTCCAGAAGTTGCAGACCAAAGAAGCTGTTTTTCCAAGTTCTGCAAAGCGTGACTACTAAGATAGGGACCTGCCGTCTTCCACATCAGCCTCTTCCACCTTATTGCCTACGCTAGCATCCTCCAGATGTTCTGGATGCCGACCGACATCCTCCCCAGACCGCACGGCCACTCTAGGGTAGCCATGGGAGATGAGCTTTGTAGGCAGAGACGGCCTGGTTTCTCACCTGGCTGTGAGAACCACGAACTGGGGGTGCCGAAGATGGAAGCCGGGGGGGGGCTTGGGGGCTTCTGATCAAAAGACGCCAAGGTCCTTTTGCGAGAGCGAAGGGAGCCGGGCGGAATGAGGTGGGCTGTGCTGGGTTTGTCTCCATGGATTGAAGCCTTCCTGCACGCTTCTGGAAGCCTGTCTCCCAGGTCTGGAGGGCCTGGTTGCCGAAAGCGCACTTTGCGCATGCTCAAAATAACTGTTCTCGCCGACAAGAGACCCTTGTTGCAAGAGCAGCCCCTGCCCGGAGCTCAGGCCGTCTTCCAGAGGAATAAAGGATGCGGCGACCCTGGAGCAGGCAGACGTGTTCCTCTGGCTCGTCTCAGCCAACTTCTGAGAAAAAGCGCTCTTCTCCACCGCCTGGGAAAATACTCACGGCCCTGCTTTGTTTTTCAGGCAGAACTGGGCGGTTTGAGGCGTGTCCCGGAGCCACAGGGAATGAATGCGCGGCTCGATTCAGGAAGCTTAATTTAGCCGAGCGAGCGGAGGCTATTTTTACCCGGCCTTCTCCAAAAAAAGCCGGAGGAGAGATTCTGCTGGGGTCAGAACAGGTAGGTCTTCCTTTGAGTTGTGAAACTCCTGGGGGCATGGCACGCACCCGTGACTGAATCCTCCTTAAGTTTCCTGGCTCTCTCCCTCTCCCCCCCCCCCCGCATGGACCTATTGTTGAGTGCCAGTGGAAACTGGAGCTCTCCCTCACCTGCCTGAATAAGAAGACCGAACAGGGAGAAGACCTGATGCCCTCCTGGGTTTGCTCCTCTTTCTTTCCACGGATAGTCAGATGCACCAGCAGGAAGCCCCAGGAGGAGCTGAAGGTCTCCCCCATAGTGGCCTCCAGCAGCGGGACTTTAGAGGGCATCCTGCTTCTCGTTCGTGCCTTGGACTACGACTCCCAGAATCCCCGGGCTGTGTTGGCTGGGACATTCCGGGGGCTTTGTAGGTTGGGTTTCTCCCTTCTGTCCTTTCCTTGCCTCTTGGGTCCCTCTTGAACGTTTTGCCCCTCGTTGGGATGGTTTTTTGGTTTGACATGGTTTTCATCGGGTTAGATAGAGGTTCTTAAGAACTGCTTGTGGGTTGTTGGTTTTTTTAAAAAGTCTTGCACTCTTTTAGGTTTTATTCTGCCACAATTTAAAATGTGTTTTTACATGACTTGCTTTGTTTCAAGTTTTGTCCTCTGACCTGTCCAGATGGGCTCCACATAGAAGCCACATCGATAATTTTTTTAAAAAAAATATAGGTGAATAAATACATAAATAGAGACGGGCCTGATCCTTGAATCCTGCTCCCATTTTAATTGTTTGCTCCTTTCCTGCAATAAAAAAAAAAGTAAGAACTTGAGGCTTCTGGGTGGTTTTTAGGTCCAAAGTTCAAAATGGAAATTATTCTAACTGGGGATTCCTGGGTATTGGCCGTATGACAAACTTTTGCATACTTGGTTTGTAGAATCGTAGAATCATGAAGTTGGAAGGGGCCTCTAAGGCCATCCAGTCCAACCCCTTTGCTCAAGGCTGGGATCTAAATCAAAGGAGATCTGCCAGGTGGTTGTCTAAAATTTCTCTTGAAGGCCTCCAGGGTTGGAGCGCTTACTGCCTCCTGAGGTCAAGGGTTCCGTTGTCGTGTTTTTTGATGTTGAGCTTCAGACCGTTTTTTGCACCCTCATTACAAGGTTCTTTAATTCCTCCTCACTTTCTGCCACCAGAGTGGTATCATCTGCATATCGGAGGTTGTTGAGATTTCTTCCGGCAATCTTAATTCCAGCTTGGGATTCCTCCAGTCCGGCCTTTCGCACGATGTATTCTGCATATAAGTTAAATAAGCAGTGGGACAATATACAGCCTTGTCCTACTCCCTTCCCAATTCCTGTCAGTTGCAAGGGTGAACCTTGTTAAGACAGCTTCGTGCTTCTCCTGAAAAAACCCGGAGGTTGCCTTTTTGGCTTTGTGAAACAAATGCCAGGCATGTTTTTGCAAGCTGAGCTGGCACCTCTTTACTCAGAATCAAGCTACTCTTGGGCCTGGCTTATTGACAAGCCTGAAATGGTCCTGCTGAACCCGCTCAACAACATTATAGAGAGGCTATGGCTGTGTGGGTCGTAGGGCACCTGAGGTGATCGGCGGGCACGGAGATGGCGGTGGCCATTTTTGGCCTCAAAAGCAGAAGCTTCATTTGCACCAAATGGAATGCCCTGATTTATAGGTACGGCTGCAAGCTCAGGAGTGATGTTTAAAAATAATTTAAATGGAATTGAAAGGCGCATCTCACTTGAGTGGGGGGACCGGATGGCCAGGTAACCTGTGAGCCTTCTGTAACCTCAGCTCTTGCTGCAGGTTGGAGGGGTTTGGGGATTGGGAAGGAAGGAAGGAAGGAAGTTAGTTTAATTCTTCCCACCTGCTTTAAGCACCCAGCTTGTAACGAGTGAGCGTTGTAGTTTCCCGGGGCTGTGTGTGAGAGGCTGTGGCTGTGACCCCAGGAGGCCAGCGCCGCTGAGCCCCCTGCAAGGCAAATAAGCTTCACAGGAAACGGAAAGCCCCTGACGAGTGTGCCTGTGTTTTTCTCCACAGTTGTGGCTGTCGTTTCGGGTCCGTCCAGCGGCCGGGCGCAAGCAGGATGAGCGGATGCTGAGTGGCCCCCTTCCTGCCCAGGCTCCCTCGCGGCGATGGCGGACGGGGACACCCTCTCGATGGCCGAGTGGCTCCGAGCCCTCCACCTGGAGCAGTACGCCGAGACCTTTGAGCGGAGCGAGCTGCGGCGGGTGTCCGATTGCCGGCACCTGACCGACCAGGCGCTGACCCACCTGGGGGTCCTGCTCCCCGGGCACCGCAAGCGCATCCTCTCGGGGCTGCTCAAGGCCTTTTCCGAGGACCTGCCCACGGCGGAGGGCCCTGAACTGCCTCCGAGGAGACCCATCCCCAAAAAGCGCAACATCTTTCGCACGGGCACCAATCCCCATCCTTCTCCTCCTCCTCCTCCTCTGATGGAGCGAGAGGCGGGTAACGGCTGGGTCATGCCAACGGGCAAGAAGTCGCCCACTGGCCGAGGGTCAGAGACCGTCCCGGGCCTCCCCCTGGCGCCGCCTCCTATTCCTCCGAGGACCAGCTGCCATCCTCCGGTGAAGTTTTCCCCGCATCCCCTCCCTGAGCTTTCTCCCGCATCTTCTCTGGAATTGGATTCCCTGCTGGATTTTACGTCTCCCTTGGTGACCCCTCCGCTGCCCGGAAACAGGCTCGATCCAGACTTGCCAGTTCCCGAAGACACGAGGAAGCCCCCCTTGCCCGCCAAACGCCACCAGCTGGAGAGCAAGCCCCCCTCCCTGACGCCGCCCCCCGTACCTAGCCGCCCTCCCATGTTGCCCCCGCGGCCTGGACACCAGAAGGCTGCCAGCATCAGGTAAGCAAAGAGGGGTTGTTGTTATGTGCCCTCTAGTTGTCTCTGACTCATGGCGATCCTACGAATGAGCCTTCTCCAAAATGTCCGGTCCTCCGCAGCCTGGCTCAATTCCTGCAAACCTGAGTCTGTGGCTTCCTTTAGGGAGTCGGTCCATCTTGTGTTATTGGGTCCTCCTCTTTCCCTGCTGCCTCCCACCATTCCCAGAATTACTGTCTTTTCCAGAGAATCCTGCTTTCTCAAGATGGGCCCAAAGGAAGACCGACTCAGTCTTAACCTTTTTGGGTTACCCCGATCTGAACTTGGAAACATTTATTTTAAGGACTGCAACTCCTACAGTTCCCCTCCACCTGGGGCCTTTGGGGAGGTGGCGGTCCAACATAATTTTTTTAAAAAAGCTTCCCCAAACTCTTGAGTCGAGTATGGCTTCCTTTGAAACATGAGGATGACCGTGATTCTTGGGGCAGCTTGAAAGATTGACTGATACGTAAGATGGCCTAGGCTAGGAGAGTCTGGTGATCCGTTTTGAAGATGCTTCAGGGAATCATTGGGTTTTTTTCCTTCTTGTCATCTCCGGTCACCACGCCGGTCTCCGTGAAATCTGGAAGAAGGCCTCCCTGGGTTCTTAGGGTGCGCGTTGGCAAGATTTACGTGTTCAAATCTGGAGATAAACGACAGAAGCACCTTTGTGCCGACCTTACTGACATTTCGGTGCCAGGTTAAAACCTTCCTGTTCCGGAAGCTTTTTTTAATCAAAGTTTTTAAATTGAAGGTTTTAATTTTAATGAATAGGTCATGGATCTAGATTGTTTTTGTAGATTGTTCCTGTTTTTATTTCTGCTTTTGTAGAGTATAGATGTAACTGTATTGGTTTTTAGTGTGTCTGTTTTTAATTGAACTGTTTTAGTGGATGTTGGCAGCCGCCTGGAGACTCTTGCAAAGGGCGGGCGGCGTGCAAGTCGAATAAATAAAATAAATGGTAAGGGGCAGATCTGCATCAGGCCCACTTGAAGCTCGCGTGCCCAATGTGTCCTTCTCTGGAGAGAGCGGATCTTGTCTTTGTTGCCTATAGGCTGGACTACTGCAAGGCACTGAACGTGGGGCCAGCCTTGGAGACAGCTAGGAAGCTTCAGCTAGTGAAGAAGGGCCAGCAGAACAGAGTTGCCCTTCTTCTGTGTCAACTCCGCAGGCTGCCCCGTTGTTTCTGGGCTCAGGTCAAAGGGCTGCTTTTGGCTTTTAGAGCCCCCAAAAGTTTGGCAACGCTGCATTGCAGGATGGAACAGGTTGCTTCTGAGTGCCTCTGCCTTCGCTTAAACTGCAGGTGGAGCCCTGCTCACTAGCCTGCTATTAAGCAATGATTAGATTGATTACCTCCCACACAGGGCCTCGTCAGTGGTGGCTCCTCATTTGCAGAGATCGAGGAAGGCCCCATAATTCCCAGAATCCCCCAACCAGCACGACCCCAGGGGTTCCCAGAGATGGGCTACCTGGACCATCCGTTTCCTGAGATTTGCTTGTTTGTGGGCTTCCATTCCCTAGAATATATCCTTCCCTAGTAACTTTTTCAAGGCAGCCTTTTTTTAAAGGCTTACAAAAATATTTTACAACTGCCTTGGGCGGAGGAAGGCTTCAGGTTTCCCTGTTTCTTTGTTTGCCTGTTTGGTTTGAAATACAGTACGTTCTTGACCTGAACGAGGATTTTAAGGCGTTCACTGGGTTGATGGAAGAGAAGGTAGGGCTTTGATGTAATTTTGTGTTAATTTATTTCCCCTCTTTGTTCTGTAACATTTTTGTTCAAGGAAGTAGAATTTGAAAAGTTGCCTAGAAGTTCAAGCAAACAATGAACCAGTTCCTTAAAAAAGAGAGAGTGGGGGGAGGGTAAAAATAAGGTGAATTAAAATGGTTTCGCTTTCTGAGAAAGCAACTGTACTGAAAAGGTGCAAAGATTTTGTAAATGGTCGCCTGCCTTCCTGCAGCTGGAAGCACGACAGAGGTTTTGCGATTTCTGGTGTGACGCGGGTGCCCTCTAGTTTTGAAATCACTCAGCTGCATCTGTCTACCCAGGCATTGGTTGGGAGATGGAGATGGGAGATTAGGCACAACCCACTGCAAAGAGAGAGCCCGCTGTGTTAATCTAGGTGGGTGAACCAAGGTGCATATGCTTTGCAGGCACCCTGTAATTTTTCCCTCTGAGATTCTGGAGGGCTTGGAGGCAAAACGAACCGCACTCTCCCGAAATCTGCGGACTTTGGGCACATCCTGCGAATACAGGATTATCTGGAAAAGACAGTCATGCAGGGAAAAGTGGGAGGTAGCAGGAAAAGAGGAAGGAGACTAGATGTGAGATGGACTGGCTGCCTAAAGGAAGCCACAGGCTGGAGTTCAGGAGAGTTGAGCAGAGCTTTCTGTGAGTGGCTTAGGTCTCTTGCTATGGAGCCAGAGGTTGGGAGTTCAAATCCTCCCACTGGGCCTCTCTGGCAGGGGTTAGACTGGATGACCCGTAGGGTCCTTTCCAGTTCTACAGTTCTAAGATTATACTATACCATATTATATTGTATTATATTATATCCTGAGACATTTTATAGGCCGCTCATTCCTAGGGTTGTCTTAAGTGGGAAGCAACTTGATGGCATGCAAAAACCAAGCAAAGCTGGGACTATGGTTGTTGGGGATTCTGGGCATTGTAGTCCAGTAAGAAACTTTTTAAAGCTGAGGAAGTCTGACCTTCAGCAGAGCCTAGCTTCCTATTTCATAGGCATAAAATTCTTTTTATGTTCATGTCATGGTGTCAGAACCAACTGATTCTGTAACACAACCTGTTGGCATAGCTAACGTTTTTCCAGCTGGTCTGTATCGTGGCTGTTCAGCTGTACCCGGGTTGGGGTTTGGAAATGGGCTCTCTCTGTTGGGCCGCCTCTTAAAACTATTTGCAGTGGTCCAGCTGCTACCTAGTTTGAGGCACCCCGTTGCCTTCATCGGTGCTACCTTCTCTCCCGTTGGCCCTTTCTCTAGCTTCTAAGGCAGACCCAACATCTTCTGCTAGCAGGAAAAACTTTTTAAAATTTTAGGCCAGTCTTTGGCCACCGACCGAGGAAGGGACTTTGGCTCACTGCTTGAGAGCAGGTGATACTGGGATTGGATCAATAAGGTGTTACACCTGAGAGAAGCTTTCAGTAAGGTAAAGGTAAAGGTTCCCTTTGACATTGAGTCCAGTCATGTCCGACTCTAGGGCGCGGTGCTCATCCCCATCTCCAAGCCATAGAGCCAGCGTTTTTTAAAGGCAGTTTCCGTGGTCACGTGGCCAGCACGACTAGACACGGAACGCTGTGACCTTCCCACTGAGGTGGTACCCATCTATCTACTTGCATTTTGGCATGCTTTTGAACGGCTAGATTGGCAGGAGCTGGGACAAGTGATGGGAGCTCCCTCCATTGCGTGGATTCAATCTTACGATAGCTGGTCTTCTGACCTTGCAGCACAGAGGCTTCTGTGGTTTAACCCAGAGCGCCACCACGTCGCTCTACGGAGAAGCTTTCGAGCACGGTACAAATCTTCCTCTCATTCCTTTGCCACTACGGCTTTGCATGGAATCTCAACTCCAGTTTCCTTGGGTGTTCGTCTCTCTTCATCGGCTACGATGGGCAGAACAAGTGGCCTCAATTTTCACCCCGTCTTTGACCACAGAACACTTTGGGAATCTCAGAGGCCTGCTTTGTGTCCGACTTTCGGGTGCCCAGTAGAGGAATGGCCTAACCTCTGATGGCGCTTCTATAAATGGGCCACCCGGTGACTTTTTTTTGTCCTTACTGGTGGATGCGGTTGTTTCTGCTGTTGTTTAAAACTGCATCCGTTCCGTGCTGGCTTCGATAGTATTCCTGCCTTGAGCACAGAGGGTTGGCCTGGATGGCCTTGCAGGCCCCCTTCCAACATTTCATTTTTCTATGATTCTGTGATTAATTGGATGCTGTTTAACACTGTAGTAAGAGTGTTGTTTATTGTGTGGTTCTTTTACCTGCATCTCTCTCTGTCTCTTTTAATTTATGTCATATGCTACCTTGGCTTCTTCTGCCAGGGAGAAATGCAGGCTAAGAAACCAACCAACCATCTCAGAGTGATCTTAGAGAAGGCTTCTGCTGTGAGGTTCCAGTGTCATCATCTTCAGTTTGCAACCTGAAGTTTTCCCTATATTTTGTTTTCCCTATATTTTGTGATGATTAAGAGATTTTTTTTAAAAAAAAAACATAACTCTTGCATCCTCCTTGGCCACTGTGAGCAGTAGATGTTCTCTGCCTGGAAGCAGCTTCTGTTCAAATTCTGGGTCTTAACACCTAAGACCTGATTGTGTTGGAGACCAGCTGTGGGGCGTCAAGTGTCCCGGCTCCTTTCCTCTGAGTCTGTTCAGGGTCCAGCCGTCAACAGCCAAATCCTTGTTGTTTCTGGGAAGCAGAAGTTCTCTTGTGCAGAGCGTGGACTGCAGCTCAGCGTGGGGTCTGGACAGGCAGGGTTTGTGCGGGAGGAGGGAATAGCAGTCCTCATTTCTCCTCCTTTGGTGTTCTTGAGCATGGACACATGACTCTTGGGACAGAACTAGCCACACGCTTTTTGTGATGTGGAAGCGAAATGCATCGACTGTACAGCTATGCCCCTCTTCCTTTTCTGAGTGTTAGCGCCGAAGATTCACCAGGCTGAATATCAGGAAAAAACTTCCTAACTGTTAGAGCAGTACAACAGTGGAACCCTTGGCCTCTGGAGGTGGTGGTGAGCGCTCCAAGGCTGGAGGCCTTCCAGAGAAAAATCGACCAACCCTCTGTCAGGTCTCTTTTGCTTTGGATTCCTGCACTGAGCAGGGGGTTGGATCTTATGGCCTCAGAAACCCCTTCCAGCTCCATGATCTGATGATTTTATTATTGCAGCAGGAAAGTTTGTGCTGGACATCAGTTGTTGACAGTCAGGGTGATCCCATCTGAACCAGCTTTGGTCTCAGAAAGCCAAGGGTGAGAGAA